TTAAAATTGAAAATAAAGCACCCCAAAACCCCAAAACCCCGTGAGGAGGAATCACATCAAAGTGGATTGAAAATTATGTTAATATTTATAAATCAAATTCTTTAATTTCGCTATGGTTGAGTGCTCCCAAAATATCAATATAGTCAAACAACATAACTCGGATCACATACCCATATAAGAGCAATTAAATGATTCCACTCCTAAAACAAATAAAGAAAGCCCCACTCACTATGTGATAGAAACCAACGAGGTAATATAAGGGTACGATGAAAATGTAAGTTAACTCCACTTTGATTGGTTTGATAGTTTACTTTCAAAATATATCACTATTTTACTTTCCTTTTATATATCTCGAGGATTCAGGATAAAATTAATTTAACTAACATATTATTTTATAGGGTAGAAGATAGGTTAATCAATATGTGTTCTTGAAAACAATTGGGTAAGGTGCATTTGGTAAAGTTAAGCTTGCGCATTTGAAGGACGATCCATGCCAACTTTTTGTAAGTTAATTGATCTAATTGAGAGAATATAATCTTCAGTGGCTTTAGCTGCAACATATATCTCATTATCCACATAACTAAAATATCTAAAGGCAGTTAAAATATTCAGAAAGTCTCATCTAAGAAAGAAGAAAGAGTACTTCAGGAAAAAAGAAGGTGGAATGGGCTTCAAAAGTCAACTACAAAATGTGCAATAAGAAATAGCAATAATGAAGAAGCTGGTTCATCCAAATCTAATTCAACTCTATGAGGTTATTGACTATGATGAAGGCGATAAATTATACATGAGTAAGTTGTAAATACAAAAACATATATACATTTCCATTTCAATTGTTGCTATAATGTTTTCTTCTTAAAATAGTAATGGATTATGCTGAAAACGGAGAGATACTTAAATGGAATTAAAAGACTTGCAAATTCAGCCCATTCAGAGCTGGGCAAGCATATTTGCTTGAGTCTGAAATAAAGAAATTCATGAGACATTGCATAAGAGGTCTCCATTTCAGTAACTACATGTTAAATAATTTTTTTATTAGTGCACACAAACAATATCGTTCATAGAGATATTAAGCCACAAAATCTCTTAATTACTAGCAAATTGAAGGCCAAACTCGGTGATTTCGGTGTGAGTCAACTCTTTGAAAAGGGTGACGATGATAAGATAAGTAAAACTGAAGGAACTTATCACTTTATGGCACCTGAGTGCTGTGATCGTAAGACTAGACGACATATTGATTAATGACTTTAGCCGATGTTGAAAGTTTTAGTGGAAAGGCTGCTGACATATGGGCATTAGGTGTCACATTGTATTGTATGGTATTCAATGAACTCCCTTTCTGGGATGAAACAGAGTTTGGTATCATTCAAAAAATACACAGAGAAGAGTAAAATATTATTAAGTTTCAAATATTCAATGATGTAGAATTAAGATAAGTGATTCAAGATAGATATCCCCAGGGTTGAGGCATTTACTGTCAAGAATGCTTGAGAAAAATCCAGAAAACAGAGCAAGTATTACTGAGTTAAGAGAAAATGATTGGATAAATGAGGGTTGCAAAACTCAACTTATATAGGAAGAGTATTTATATATATTTTCAATATGATTTCTTTTAGAACTAGCTTCATTAGTGAACTCACTGAAGCAGACTTACAATATGCACTTACTCCTATTCACAGAATAGTTTTTGCTGTAAGTATAAATTTCAGATTATTTGCTTTACCTAAAATAGAAAAAATTCGGTAAATAATGGAAGAAAAACGCCAGTAATAAGGCTATGCTAGAAAGATAAAAATCTAAGGAATAAGATGAAGCATCGCCCAAAGATGATTAGATTCTACATCAGGATGTAAATAATTAAATGGCTAAACTTGATATGAATTTATGAACTGATAATTGAATGCCATTAGACTATAATATAGTTCTGGCAGCCAGCAAGAATAATCCTTTGAAAATCAGATATTCTCATTTTATTATAGCTCCTCATAAGTATTATTATCAATAACTACACAAGTTAGACTAAGTTGCAATTTTATGATAATTATATTTTATTTCTACTATAGTCAACTTTTAAAAAAGTAAGCCCATAATGGGGTTTTGGGGTTTTGGGG